CGAGTGGTTTTTTTTTCTCTGCGCTCCCCGCCTCCGCCGCCGCCGCCGCCTCCTTGGTGCGCTCTAAGCCCCGCCCAAGCAAGCAAATAAATATATCAAAGCGGGGCGCGCCCTTAATGGACTAGGACCGGGGTCCCTTGGAAAAGATTGGCGGACGCCGGGACCCCGGGGAGGGGGGCGGGGCTGAAGGACCCCACGCGATGTGAGCAACGTGGATCACTTCCTCCTCTCCCGAGTATTTTTCTATCTATGCCGACACTGCGCCGGGGAAGCTTTCCAGGCACTTAACCCTGGGGTTGTTGGAAACCCATTTCACTGATGAAGAAAATGAGCTCCGGGAAGGTTAAGGGACTTGCTCGACATAACACACATAATCAACAGCCCTGGGATTGGAATGCAGACACCAGCGTCTCAGCCCTGAATCCCTAGGGTTCTGACTCTTAAGTGTGCCCAGTCCAATCCCAAGCCAACTCTGGCTGTGCAAGCACCACTCCATGCTTGTGTCCCAGAACCGGGTCCTCGCACTGGCTGTGGAAGCTGGTTTTCCAGAGGCGTGTGTACTTCTGGCTGGCTGCCACTCTTGCCTCCTGCCCTCTGCTTCAGTTCCTGGCCACTGAGCTTCTCGAGGTCCTTATTGAATCTGGGGCCCGGAAGATGCTGGGGACCCTCAGACCGAGATGCATGGAAAGCCCTAATGGTGGTGGTGACCTAGTGAGCCTCTGGTTTTTCACTATATCCTCAGCATTTGTCACACTGTTACTAGTGAGTAGTAGGCACTCAATTAAACGAATGAGTGGCTATTCACCACCTGTCACTTCGTGCCCACTTAGTGCTGGGAGGAAGGAGTCAATACCAAGGGCAGGGGCACCTGCCCTATGGCTCAGTGTTTCTGGAAAGATCAGGCTACTGCTGTCATGTTCACCCCTGGCCTTCAGCTCTCAGCTGAAGAGGCACGTGGCCTGCTTCAACAAAAGCGTGGAAAACTTGACACTCAGGAGCGTTCAAAGCAACTTGTAACAAATGGCAGTGAGGCGGAGCTCGTGGAGAGAGCTGTACAAAAAAAAAATGTCTTGTGTGTATGGCAATGAGAGGAGGCAAAGTTGACCTCAGTACATTAGTAGAAAGGACAAAGTGCTCTGGGACCGGCAACAGCCTGAGCAGGGTCGAGACAAAGAGCAGACAGAACTGCTGACAGCTGGCCGAGAAGTGTTAGAGTGGGTGTGCCACCAGCCCTGCCGGGGCAAGAACCCTGGCAGAAGCACCAATGGGCAGGCGCTGGCATCAGCAGCAGACAGGTGTGTTCACTGTCCTGTGGGGTGGGGAAGCTCACTCAGTTTCTGGGGTGTGCATCTTGGCTTGAAAGCCAGAGGTGGGAGCTGACTCTTGGCTCTGCCATTTGCTAGCTGTGGGACCGGGAACAAAAACCTTCTCCATGCCTGTCTGCAAAGGGGGATAACAGTTAACACTATGAAGGGCCATGTAACCTGACATTCATAAAGTCCTAAGACAGATACTCCCTAGAAATGCTCTATGTGATCTATATGCCCCCTATTTTGATATTTATTTCTATTTATTACTTATGTTCTATTTTAAAGTAAGTATTAGCCTGTGTGTATAATCTGTGTGGATTCTGTTGTAGTTTTGTTGTTAGGGGAGGGATGCTGGTTGGTTGGTTTGGTTTTCGTTAATTTTTTATATGTATGGGTGTGGGTATATGCCACTTGAGTGTATGTGCCTTCAGAGGCCAGAAGATGGCATTGGAGCCCCTGGAGGTGACAGGTGGTTGGGAGCCATCCTATATGAGAGTCAGGAACAGAACACAAGTCCTCTGGAAGGACAGCAGGCACTTTTATTTGCTGAGCCATCTTTCCAGCCTGGTTTGGTGTTGTGAGATAGGGTCTCGTGTAGTCCAGGCTGGCATCCAACTCACTCTCTGGGGGAGGCTGACCTTACTGAACTCCTGGTCCTCCTGTCTCATCTCCCAAGCCCATATCACAGGAATGTTCATATATACCTTCTCAGTCCCCTGTTAAGTCAGCAGTCCCTGTTATCCACAAATGACGTAAGAGGGTCTTTTGTGGATGTCTTCCCAAAGAAGGCTAGGGCTGGCAAGATAGCTCAGTGGCCAAGGGTACATGCCACTAAGTCTGATGACTTAACTTCAGTCCCTGTCTACTATGACATGTGTGTATGCATATACATACAATAATATAATTTATTAATTAAAAAAGAAGTATAGCCAGACTATGGTAGCACACACCTTTAAACCCAGCACTCAGGAGGCAGAGGCAAGCAGGCAGATGTCTGTGAGTTCAAGGCCAGTCTAGTCTACAGACATGTTCCAGAGCAGCCAGGGCTATACAGAGAAACATTGTGTCAAAAAACCAATAATAATAGTAGTGTGTGCGTGTGTGTGTGTGTGTGTGTGTGTGTGTGTGTGTGTGTGTACGTACATAATTAAAAAGTTTTGTACCTAACTATCTCCTGAACTTTAATTGCCTTCAGGAATTTTCTGGGCTTGCTAGAAAGATCAGCTTAGCTGGGCTTGTGGACTGCTGATGTTTCCTCCTAGAAAAAATGGGTATTGGGGGTATCATAAAATCATACAGCCATCCCTGCCTTATTGAATATAATTCTACCCTAGTTAAATGTAGCCTGGGGTCTTTGTGAAGGGTTAGAGAATATATAGGTGGTAACCGAATAAAAGAGGGACCTCTGTCTACCCAGCTGTCTAGAGTCATCATCCAAGCTGAGTGCAGGCTGTCCAATGTGACTGTTTTAAGGTCACTCACGCTCCTTCTGGTAACCCCTCGCCCATTCCTCTGTAAGAAAGCCTAATAAACTCATTGGTTTCCACCTTGGTTTGTCCCTGGGACCTTAGGAGGAAGGGTAAGCATTGTTTTAATCTCCCCCAGGGAAGACACTTTAGCAACAAAGAAGACCATTTCACCCTACAATGGTGGAGCATTCAAGTTAGGGTTACCAGTAGCTAGACACTGTCCTTGCTGGTCCATCTGCTTTCACTCCATATTCTCCGCTCAGCAGCCATGGTGATCTTTTCAAAGGTGAAACATACCATGTCCACCAAACTCCACAGCTACAATGGATTCCAGTGATATTAAAATTCCAAAGTCCTTAGGACACCAGAACAGCCCTACCTAACCTGTCTTGACCTCACTCTGATCTTGCACAGTTCAGTAGTTACCACTTCCAGCTACAGACTCTGTATTCCAGCATGTTGACCTCCTAGACGTGCACCCTGAAGGCTCATCTTGCTCTTGTCTCAGGGCCTTTGCACTAGCTGCTCTCCCTGACACACACACACACACACACACACACAAGCTTACTGATCACTTTGTTCAGGTTTGTGCTCAGATGTCCCCTCTTTAGATCAGGCCTTGCCTGACCACCTCATCTGAAATGACATTCTTGTCACATTTATCCTTTATCACTGTTTCCGGCCATGTCATCTATTTATCATCCCGTGCCTAACAGATTACAGACTCATGGAGATCATGAGTACACATGTCCCCTTTGCTTCTGAGTGCTCAGCACCTGCAGACATTCAATATATAAAGTGTGGCCTTTGAGAGGTGACCAGGGTTCGATAAAGTCATCAGGATAGAGTCCCATGATTGAATTCACAGAAGGAAAAAGGCCAGTGAGACAGAATTGTTTTGTCTCTTTCCAGTGATGCCTGGTGCCACTCTAGGACACTGTAGAAGATCAGCATCTCCAGATATGGGCCTCGCCCTTAGACCAAGCCCTTTATAGTCACCTGTTATGTGTCATTGTGTTATTAGCAAGAGAATACTATTTCTGAGAATGTGGATAGTCTTTAGAACTAAGCAAAGCATGTGTACAAGAATGATTAGGGCACTGGAAATGCCAGACCTCCTCTCCCTTGGTTGCTAACATTGGGAGACTTTTGGTTTAGGACATGAATTGAGACAACACCGGGCTGCAGGGGCTCATGGAGGATGGGAGTAGATAAGGCCTTTGAAGTTGAAACAAAAGCCCGAGGACATGAGC